CACACACACACACACACATATATATATATTACACACACACACACACACACACACACACACACACACACACACATTTGGAGGCTGAGGATGACCATCCCAGGCAACTGAACAACTTAGCAAGACCCTGTCTCAAAAAGGGCTGGAGATGTAGCTCAGTGCAAAGCTCCTGAGTTCAATCCCTAGTATCACAAAATAATAAACAATAAAACTAAAATTAAGAAATATAAATATTTGGAAAATCACCAATACAATCATTTTAAAGATATAAATAACAGTAACAGACTTACTATTTCTTTTCCCCTGGTTCATCTGAAGCACTGCAATTATTGCAGATTCAATGTTATAATTTTCAGCTTCCAGGTTCTGGACTATTAAATCAAAATCCTATTCAAAAAACAAAGAAACACTTCAAGACTCTGGGTATACTTTTCTACCTAGTCCTACTTCATTATTCTGGTAAACACAAACATGTAACTACCATCACTAACATAAGGTTTCAAGACCCTCTCCTTTAGAAAACATCAATTTCAAATACGGTTGGTTACTTTAAAAAACCAAAATACATTTGCAAATAAATTTTCTTTATAAAACTGTAAATGTTACTACTGTGAACATTAGTCAGAAAAAATTAAATCTACTCCTTAGAATTCTGAGCAATATTGGGTAAAGTCTAGCAAAACAGAAATGAATAAACAGCTCTCATTAAATCATATCACAAAACCTAAAACTCCAATCTCCTGGACCTGTTTGGCCTATCACAGGTTAGCATGCTAGAGAAAGGCTACAAAACTAGCAGGTAAACTAGAAACAGCAACACTTGTTTATAAAGCATCGCAGCATGGCAGGAATACTAACCAAACATCCAGTTGCATTACAAACTTTCTGGACAGCATCTTCTACTTCATCTCTTAGGTCATCTTCTAAGTCAACTCCCTTTGTCTTGATTTTTTCTCTTTTATTTGATTCATGTTGATGAAGTATCTGAAACTAAAAGAAATAAAAAGCATAATAATTATGAAACTCTAGGAAACTATTTAGAAACTTCAACACAGGCACTATAATCTAGTCTAAACATCTAGCTACACATGCGGGGAAGATTCCAGAGACAATCTGAAGGGAATAGCAGTGAGTAGGCTAAATTTCATCCACAGACTGAGGCACCAGGCCACCACAAAAGAATAAAAAGCCCAAAGAGGTGAGATGACCCCTCAGCAAGAACATCATCAGAGCTCCTGTGGTTTCTAGATACCAACATGTTGGTGGTGACTGCTGAGCCCGACACCACATGCTTCTCCTCGCGCTCACTTCCAGAGCTGTGAGCTGAATAGCTGCAGAAGAGGGCTATCTACACTTGTACCTGATAAGCTTTTGCAGAACAATGCTGGTTTAGAAGAAAGATGATATACAACTCGCATCCAGGTCCCAGGCCCTACCTGATCATCCTCCAACTCTGGGATACAAAACACAGCATGCCTCAGCTCACCTCAGATCCACACCACCACACTCACAGGAATGTGCCAATGCAAACACTAAAATAAAGCTTGAACAAAGAACAGACTGCCTGGAGTACAAGAGGCCTCTACAACTGAAGCCTAAGCCAGAAAAGCTAAAACCATCCCCCTGCAACTCACTCAACCACGTACTGTTTTCTATTTGCAGAGGAAGATGGGTAAATAGGCAAAAATGTTTCAATTTTTTGCAAGTCCAGGTAAGTGGAGTCCAGCAAAGAGCAGTTTACTCCTTACAATGTTAATACAAAACTATTTCTTAAATTATACCTTAACAATTTGTTAATGAGTCTTCAATCAAGTAGTTTCACAGTTTTGGAATTTAGCCAAGGAAATGTCAAATACAAAAAGGATTTACATAAAAATGTTCATAACAATGTTATTTACACTGGTGGATAATTGGAAATAAGCTAAAGTATAGGCATAGCTAAATAATCACAGAATGATGTCTTCATTTCCATTTCAGTAAGGAACATAAAGATTTTTCACTACCACCATTATTATTTTAAAACATTTTAGAGGCAACAGCCAATGCAATTAACCAAGGCAAAGAAATTAGAAGTAAAAAAATTAAGGAAAAAAAATCATCACTTGCAGATAATTCTGTTTTGCGGGAAAAAAAAAATCAACAACAAAAATAATACTACAAATAAAAATTTTAATGTCTATCTTGGGCCACTGAATGTTGGAAATGTTTGACTTTTTTTTCACTTGTACTGGGGCTTGCCTTAAATCTCAGAGGAGACTTTGGACTTGGACTTTTCAGCAAGGCTGAAACTATTAGGACTTTGGCAGCTCTTAGAGATGGACTAAGTGCTTTTTTGAACAAAGGGATATGCATGAGTCTTTGGGGGGCCAGGGGTAGTTTGTATTTAGATGTCCCCCAAAGCCCCATGTGGATGAGGTGGGACTTTCTTTTTCAGAGGTAGTTAAATCTGGAATATATAATGCCGGGGTTAAGGGCGGGTGATTACTAAACCAGTACATGTGAGTGATTAGTTTGGCACCGCCCTAATCCCAGTACTCTGAATAAGATAAAAGGGGCAGAAAGACACTGTTAAACTCCTCTTTTGCCTTTGCTACCTTGTGTATACCATCTTGTTTCTCCTCTGCAATGTCTGTTTGTCATCCCTGTCTTGGCGCCAGCCAACTGTAGACTGAAACCTCTACGAACTGTAAGCCAAATAAACCCCTTCCCCTCTAACTTTGGGTGTTGGGTATTTTGTCTCAGCAATGAGAAAAAAGTAACTAACACAGCATGAATGAATGAATTTGGAAGAATTCTCTTCATTTCAAATTTTTTAATAATTTATGAATAATTTGTATTTTTTAAAATATAGGATAGAATTTTGCAGTAAAGTAACCTGGCTCTGGGCTTTTTTTATGGAAAAACTATTACTAATACATTTTGTTACTCATTAAAAAATATAAATAAATAATGTGGCAAATCATTCACTTGATAAGAATCTTCTAAAATATACTAAGAACTCTTACAACTCAAAAACAGACAACCCAATTAAAAAATAGACAAAGGGGGGCCGGAGATTTAACTCACTGGTTCTGTCACCTGCCTTGCAAGCGCAAGGACCCGAGTTGGATCCCTGGTACCAAAAAAAATAGGCAAAGGACTTGAATAGTTATTTCTCCAAAGCTATACAAATGGCAAGATGCATAGAAAATATTCAACATCATTAGTCATTAAGAAAATCCAAATTAAAACCACTAAATACTACGATGGCCATTAAAAACAAATAAATAAAAACAAGTATTGGAGGGAAGGTAGAGAAATCGCTGGTAGTGATGTAAAACGATATAGCCACTTTGAAAAAGAGGTTGGCAGTTCCTTAGAAAGTTAAATTTAGAATTTACCACATAACCCAGCAATTGCACTCCCAGGTATATCTCCCAAGATTCAAAACAAGTTCTGAACAAATATATACACAAACACTCACAGCAGTACTATTGTCAAGGGGCAAAAGGTGAGAACAGCCCAAATGCCCATCAAAAGATGATTAGAGAAACTAAAAGTCATGCAATGGAATATTATTCAGCCTTTTTTTAAAAAGTAGTGATACATGCTACAACGTGGATAAATTTCAAAAACATTATGCTCAATGAGGGCATATAGGGAAGATCACATATTATAAACTACACCCACATGAAATGTCTAGAGTAAGTAAATGCAGAGAGACAAGGAGGCAGTCTCTATGGTTGCGGGGAAGGGGGAATAGGTAGAGTGGCTGCTTGAGTGCAGGGTTTTCTTTTACAGTGACAAAATTGCTTTGGAACTAGGGAGAGGAAGTAGTAGCACAACATGGGGAGTACCAAGTGCCACTAAATTCTATGCTTTTAAAATGGTCTATTTTATGTCATATGTCTTTTACTTCAGTTTTTTAAAAAGGTAATTCTGTATGCTATCTGGGTATATAATTGGCATTTTGTTACTAGTTCTCATATAAAATGATAGATAACCATCCAGGAAATGAAATATGAAAAGGAAAAAGAAAGATCCTTTCTATACCTTAAGAACAAATAACACAAAAACCACCTAAGAATAAAATCAACAAAAGATAGGCAAAACCTTTATGAAAATGCTCCTATAAATTATACACACAAAAAAAAATCAAACAAATTTTAAAAGTATACCCAATCCTTGGCTAGCAAGATTCAATATCATAAAGATGTCAATTTTTCCCTAAGTTAATTTACTAACTTAATGTGATTCCAATTAAAAACACAACAGACTTTTTAACTTGACATACTGATTCTAGTATTTTTATTTTTTAAAAGACTATATAGGAAATTATTAAAAAGAAAAGTAATTATGAGTGAAAAATTCTATCAGATTTTTAAATGAACTAATTAACATAATGGAGCATCAATACATAAATAGATCAGTGGAACAGAATGAAATGTCTAAAAACACACCCAAATACATATAGGAATTTAGTATGGGGTAGGGGTTGTGGCATTTTAAATAAGTGGAAAAAAATGTATAATGAATAAAGTTTGTGTACAATTACGCAATCCCAAAGAAAATGTCAAGTTAGACTCCTAATCGCACATCGCTAGAGAATATAAATATCGAAGGAAGCCACACCAGGCATAGTGGCATATGCCTGCAATCCTGGCACTCTGGGAAGCTGAAGCAGAAGATCATAAGTTCAAGGCCCACCTGGGCAACTTAGTAAGATGCTGTCTCAAAATAAAAAGGGCTAGGCATGCAGCACAATGTAAAGGGCCTAGGTTCAATCTCCAGTACCAAGGGAAAAAATGTTTTAATTAAACTATAAAATTACTATAGTAAACTATGGGAGAATTCTTTTTAACCTCAGAGTATATAAAGTCTTCCTAGTTATAACCCAAAACCCAAAGGAATATAAGAAAACATCAAGTGATTGGGTGGGGATGTAGCTCAGTAGTAGAGTGCTTGCCTAGAATGCATATGGACCTAGGTTTGATCCACAGCACCACAAGGGGAAGGAGGAGGGGAAAGAGAGAAACAGCGATAAATTAACCAAAAGAAAGAAGAGAAGGGAAGGGAGGGAAGAGGAGGAAAGGAGAGGGAAATATTAATAAATTAAAGAAAGAAAATATTAATAAATTAACCACATAAAAGTCTGAAAATCTCATAGCAAATATCATAGAAGACAGAAGAAAAACACAAATGACAAACTGAAAAAATATTTGCAATTTGTATCACAGAAAGGCTAATTTCCCTAATATACAAAAAGCTCCTCAAAAATCATTAAGATAATTTTAATAAGAAAAAAGGGCAAAGAAAATAAATACAGTCCATTAAAAAGGAAACACAAATAGGTTTAAAAACAGGAAAAAATGTATAAATTGACTAATTAAAAAAAATTCAAATTAAAACTATGTTAAGAAAACATTAAAAAATTTGGTAGTGTACTGGCAAAGGCGCAGGGAAAGAGGCACATAAGTTAAGAATATAAATTGATAAATGTCAATAGAAAGTAATTTGGCAGTATCTATCAAAAGCCTTTGATGCAGAACTTTCTATGAATTTAGCTTGAAAATACACTCACACATGTGTGAAATGAGGTACATATAAGGAACTGCATCCTGGTTTTAATAGTGAAAACTTCAAAAACATCAAAAGTCCATCAATGAGGGACTGGTCAACATGTTACAAGGCATCTGTTCAAGAGAATACCATGCAGCCTTTAAAGAAGATACAGAAAGCTTCTTACGTACTGTTACAAATTAAAACCTACATTAAAAAGCAGTGTAGGGCCAGGGATTTAGCTCAGTGGTTCTGCCACCTGCCTTGCAAGCACAAGGACCCTAGTTCAATCCCCAGTACGAAAAAAAAAAAAAAAAGTAGTGTAAAGTGACTGTGTTAGGTTGTGCAGTGTACAGGATACAATTGGGGATGGGGAGGGTGTAAAAAGTAGCAAAAGTGGAACAGTGCACATATATACATATCTCTGAGATTTTTATAGATAGTTTGTATTTATATATGTCTATATTTTTAATTTATAGAGATCTATAAAATCTGCACCCAGGGAAGGCAATGGTATGGTTAAAGAACAAGGGTAGGAGGGTAACAATTACTACATCTTCTGTTACACATTTTTTTTGGTACGGGGGATCAAACTCAGACCTTGCACTTGCAAGGCAGGCAGTGGAACCACTGAGCTAAATCCCCGGCCCTCCTGCTACACATTTTTAATTCTGACCCATGGTCACACACACCATGTAACCTACTCAAGAAATAAAACTTTAAAAAATGATGTCATCAGAGAGAGGGTGAGCCAGTCCCAGCACCCGGAGGGAAGCTCCCCGCCTCCATCCCAGGCTCCTAGGGCAGTGCAGCTCAGCTGGTCCTAGCACCCGGAAGGAAGCTCCCCTGCTGCCATCCCAAGCTCCTAGGGCAGAGAAGCTGAGCTGGTCCCAGCACCCAGAAGGAAGCTCCCCCACTGCCATCCCAAGCTCCTAGGGCACAGAAGGTGAGCCACGTGGGCACCAGAAGCACCCCCACCCCCACCGTGGAAATGA